GACACACTTCCGGTGATGTCAGGGGGTGTGGCATATGCTAATGAGTTATGCTAATGAGTTCCCCTAGCTCTTTTTCTACGAAACGACCCCTGCTATTAGCCTTGGTTTAACCCAAAATAGCTTTAATTTGGTGGTTTGTCTGAAGATGTAGCTCAGTCCGTGGACAATTCAAGCAGAGTACACCCATCCCCTCCCACACCCACACACTTCCAGGCCCAGCTGGTGATGCAGGGTTGTCAACGCTGGAGATTTGAGGGTGGAGCCTGAGAGACTGGGGTTTAGGGAGGGCATAATACCAGGCAGCCCACCTTCCAAAGCAGCCATTTTCTTCTCCAGGAGAAGGGGAATAAATGTTATAAACAAATAAATAAATAGATCCTATTTGGAGCCGCGAACAAGAGGAGACAGGGAATCTGGTGAACACAAAAGGGGTATCTTACAATGATAGGGTTCTGTCACAATAGTAATGGATACTTCCTAGGTCCTTCCCATTCTTGTACATATTTTGATACTCTTGTTTGCATATAAAAATTGATTGTGATGACCAGATGGAGGAGTAATAAACTGAAAGCAAATTAGATTAATTCAAGGCTATCCACATGTGGGAAAACCAAGGAATTTTCATCATCTTCTTGGCGTGGAACAGTGGTCACTGGGTGTGTGTGGGTCTGGGGGAGGTACTGGTGAATTTCCTGCATTGTGCAGGGAGTTGGACTAGATGACCCTGGAGGTCCCTAGGAATGTGTGTTTGTGCGTCCTCAACTTGGCACTACACCCAGATCCTCAGGATTGACAGCTGTCAAAAATGTTTGAGAAATGCTCTTTTTAATTCCATGTCCGTAGTTAAACTCTGAGGAGTACCTTAGTGCCTGTCTGAAATGCTCTGCAGGTGCATGGCTGAAAGAGTCTTTTCCTCATATACAAGACTGCAGCCTCCCGCTGCAGACGAATTCAGACTGCCCCGTATCCCTTGCTTCTGAAAGGAGAGCCTGGCAGCTGCTCCTTCGGTCTCCTAACTGGCAAAAGAGGAGGAGGTCGTGTGGTGGCCATGGGGGGAAGGGGGGGAGGGCTCTGTTGAACCTGCTTTCCAGGCCGAGGACTGTCCGGCCCCCCACTCTGGCCTCTCGCAGAGATTCTTTATGCCCCAACTGCCCAACATCAGACAAAAAGGAGGACACAAGCTTTAAAATAAAGATCGGTAGCGTGTAAAGCGGTGTTCTCCCCAAAGGTCTCTTATTTGGAAACCTGCCAGACGGAGGCTGTCCTTCTGTGCCAGGTGAACGGAGACCCCCTGCTGCTTGGCGTTTCGACTCGACGGGCAAGACACAGAAGGAGATGAACAGCACAGGGTGATGTAACAGAAAGTAAAGTGTTTATAAATCTGATGTGTGGATAACTCAGGTGCTCTTTTCTCTCCCAGAGCACACCTGGCCACAGAGCCTGCCGACACACACCAGGCAGGAATGGCCGGGCCCTGAACAGGATGCTTATTATCACCACCTAAAATAAGCTTGCTTCCCTTAACTGACTCCGCAAACCCTAACTAAAAAGCCCAATAAAGGCCTGGCTAAGCTGACGCTCCTGTCCAGAGCCACAAAATTCCCTTTCTGGGGGGTGTGTGTCTCTTCCCCCTTTTTAAACTGAGGCTGGCTCAGCCCCTCCCATCCAGGGGAGTTCCATGAGCTCTGGTTGGCTGATAATCCCTTAGATTTGCATGAGGCCTAAATCACAGGGATTGGTGGACTTTTAAGGTGAATTGCCACAGTATTCCATGTGAAGAGGCAATTGTGGGGCTTTTCCCCAGCTTTCACCCTACCCTACCTCTGATCAAGAGAGAGATCTTGGAGTTGTAGTAGATAACTCACTGAAAATGTCGAGACAGTGTGTGACTGCAATAAAGAAGGCCAATGCTATGCTGGGGATTATTAGGAAGGGTATTGTAAACAGATCAGCCAATATCATAATGCCGCTATATAAATCAATGGTGCGACCTCATCTGGAATACTGTGTGCAATTCTGGTCACCACACCTTAAAAAGGATATTATAGCTTTGGAAAAAGTGCAGAAAAGAGCAACCCGAATGATAAAAGGGTTGGAACACTTTCCCTATGAGGAAAGGTTAAAGCGCTTAGGGCTCTTTAGCTTGGAGAAAAGACGACTGAGGGGTGACATGATCGAGGTTTATAAGATTATGCATGGGAAAGAGCAGGTAAAGAAAGAGGTACTTTTCTCCCTTTCTCACAATACAAGAACCCGTGGGCACTCCATGAAATTGCTGAGCGGTCGGGTTAGAACGGATAAAAGGAAGTACTTCTTCACCCAAAGAGTGATTAACACTTGGAATTCACTGCCACAGGAAGTGGTGGCAGCTACAAGCATGGACGGCTTCAAAAGGGAATTAGATAAGCATATGGAGCAGAGGTCCATCAGTGGCTATTAGCCACAAGGTATAGATAGGGACTCTGGGGCAAGTGATGCTCTGTCTTCTTGGTGCTTGGGGGGGGTCAACAGTGGGATGGCTTCTAATGTCCTGGCCCCACTGCTGGACCTCCTGATGGCACTGGTATTTCTGGCCACTGTGGGATACAGAG